TGTGAAAGGACAACTTCAGATCCCTGCTTGGACTGTGGCTGGAGATGTCCCTTCAGTGTTCTTCAGTGAAGCCCTGAGTTCAGAGGATGCATTTGGCTGGTTTTTAGAACACGGTAATAGAGGTGCAGCATTTTTTCCTTTTGCAAAAATCAGAGGTGTTTTAGAGGAAATTCTGCTGTTTGGCTTAACTTCAGTTTGGTTTTGAGGAAGAGTGGGTGAGGATGTCAGTTTTCTGAAACAGGCCACTAAATTAAGTGAAAGTGTCAACTGTCAGCCTTCCTGTGGCAGACCACACAGTTTTGAATTGCAGGTTTCCTCTTGAGCCTAGTAAAACCAGCTGTCTTTATAATAATTCTTCATCCACTTTGTTTTTCTTCTAAAATCCCTGCAGACTGCACTGTTAGTGTTGTCTCCCAAATTTTAATTATGTTCACAAAAAATTCAAGAAAATGTACATGATATATGTAATTGTCAATGTCAACTAATCAGAAGACTCTAGTTAAATCTTTCTTCAACATTCACTTAGCTTTCTTGAAGCACTGTTTTTATATAATGTGATGGAAAATAGCCCATATGTAGCCTTTTCCAGAAAATAATGTTTTTAAGTGGTTTGAGTAGATTCCAGTTACACTGCTGTACACTGTTCATAAATGAATCTGAAGCTATCAACAGGAGAAATCACGGAAGTATAACACTAACCTTATGAGAGCAAATTTTAAGTTTCGTTCTCTGCTGTAAAAGTGTCACATGACCTTTAGGCAGCTTCTTGAGCTCTCTGTGGTGGGGGGGAGTTGCCTGAAAACTAGGGAAATAATGATAATTCAACATAATCTAGGAGCATTTGAAGGGTGAATTCACAGACTGCTCACATGTTATGGTAATATAAACCTAGAAATACTTTATGTAGCTAAGGAATTCATCAAGGATGAAGTTCTGAGCTGTGGAACCAGCAGCATTGCCTCACAGTCAGACTCTGTGGCACACCAGCTCTAGATGCAGCAGTGCAGTTGGGAAAGGCTTCTGATAAATAGGCAGGTCACCAGCTATAGAAATACAGCTGAAACATTTTGCTTTCGTTTTCACATGAGATTTTAACATATCACAAACACAGAATGATTATGTATTGGTACCTCTGCATAGTTAGTAATTTTGGAGAAGTGTTGATCTTTACTTCATAGCTTTGATTCAAACAGTGTAACCACTGAGTTACTGAATGTTCAGAGAGGGATGGAAAAGATGTCAGGAGTAGAAAAGATGTCACTGGCAATTGGTTGTACTCCAAAGCAGCAGAACAATTTCTGAAAACCAGTCACTCAACTTTAGGCCACTTTTGAGTTATCATTACTCAAATAAACATGGAAAATTGCCTCATCTTTGGTGATGTTGTCTGTGGTTCTCAGATGTGAACTTCTACTTTGCAGAAGAACCAGCAACAGAGCAACATTCAGAGCAATGAGCAAGCAATACTTCCTATAGGGAGGGCATCAGTAATGTAGTGGTTGCCCACAAGTGTTATTGAAGGTACTTGATTCTGATGTAGGTGTACTCAGGAAGATGTTTATTAAAAAGAAATTGAAAGGAGGAAGGGATCTGTCACTCACTAAGGCAGTGTTTGGTATATGCTCTGTGAGTGACAATAAGTGAAGTTTTCCCTTATCTACAGAATTAGTATTTGAGCTTTCAGGAACGTAAACTGTACACATTAGTTCTGCTGGTCAGCAGAACTAATAATTTATTTATTAAATATAAATAATATATTTATTAAATACAAAGTTATAGGAGCTGTTTCAACAGGATGTGGATCTGAGAAGAGGCTGATGTTGAAAGATCGCCTTCTGGTATGTCTGATCTGAGCATGCTGCCCTTGCACACGTGAACCATTAATGGATATAGTAATAGAAATGGTGAACTCTTTTTGGTGTGCCAAAGCATAAAATCTGCTGATGAAACCTTTGAAGTTGCTATTTGTTAATGTGTATGGAAATGCATGGGAAAAAGTGACTATCTCCCTCCCCACCCCTGCTTCAGAGAGGAGGACAATAGGGGATCTGCTCTCACTCCTTTTTCCTTGTAACATACCTCTAACAAACAAGTGCCTGGACTGTGTACAGCTATTTTAGGCTTGTGAGGATTTTAGGAGAAACATTTCATGTTTCACATGGGATCACACATAATGCCATTTTTGTCCCTGAATATCTTAAAAATCATGTAATTCATACCTAAACACACTGCCAGTATTTTCCTCTAACAGTGCTATCAGTCATACTCCCTTTCTGGTCTTGGCTTGGGGAGGGTCTTTGTGTATCTATATCTCATGTTTCTGGCTTTCCTTTTAGACTTCAGTAGAATTCAAAAAATATTTTCTTGGGTAAATTTTGGAGGAGGAGGATGATAAAGAATTATGTATGTAAAACTGTAGGTATCTTTTCCATTAAAGATAGTATAGTATTGTTTTCTGTTTTCTTTCTGCCTATATTCTACCATTTACCTAAGGTATTTGTATTTAATTAATTCTTTTATGTCGTCTTGCATTCTGGCCCAAATTCTCCACTCAGACTTTTTCAAAATTGTTCTATTGTAATAGCTAAATATATACATTTCTCTAGATATTGGATAGTCATGTTATTGTCCTGTTTTCTTGAGTCAAATTACTTTGTTACTGGTATCTTCCTCTTTAAATGTTTTCCAGATGAAAGCCCTCTTGAATTTCACACCCATTCCAGTTTCTCATGAGTTCTTTTTTCTGATAGCATTAGCTGTTAACACACCCAGATCTTTTTCTCCTTATTTGCTCTGCTGAGCAATGATGCTTTTAAAATATCTTAATCCTCCTTTGGATGTAAATCGCTTGCTAGGGTTCCCAATTCCTGTAACAGGTGGCTTTCCAGTGTGTGACTGTTGCTTCTTTAGTCTTTCTTGCTAAACTGTTTGCCTGGATACAGACTCCATTTTGGGATGGGTTTCTGAAAATAATCTGGGATTTCTCAAACAAAGCTGGGCTTTTTCTTAGCTTCTATTCTGAAAAAAATTGCTTCTATTCTGAAACAACTGAAAAGTGCTTTTCTTTTACTAAATAGGATGAGTTGGAAGCATCTCCTTCCTAAGATCCCTGCTAACTGTGATGACAAGTCTATAGTGAGCTGTTAAGTTGACCTGTTTATGAAATAAAAGGAATGTGAGGATTATATAGCTAATTGTATTTCAGCATCTTTATTATTAAGGGTTCATGGTGTTCTTATATGGCATAAGAGAAAGGTATTTGAAATACTCTATAAGAAGGTAGAATTTTTCCCGTTTCCTTTGCTTGAAAATAATTTTTCTTCCCCATTTCTGCAGTCCTGTACTGTTTGTTTCTGTAACGAGTACTTCAGCTGCAGATAAGTAATCTCTAAACTGATTTTCAGTAGTAGCTTCAGAGTTCACTTTGTTTACAAAGAATTCTCATTTTGAAGGGAATTAATTAAACTGATTAAAGTAAACTTTCACTTGAATAAAGTCTAAAATCAGAGGGGCAGAAGTATTTTCAGGCTTTTCAAATTTTTTGAAATGTTCATGTTACAAATTTGATAAAGAAAAAAAGAAAAGTGAAAGAGTGGGAAGAATTGTCAAAAAACATCAAAGCCAAGGTGATGGCTTCGCTTTGTAAGTATATGGAAGTGAAGGAATTTTGATTAGCCCTGTGCAATAGTTTCTCAAAGTTCAGAAGAAAATGGAGCTTCTGACAGCAAATGGGAGTTCTGGTGGTGTGTCAGTTAGGGCTGTAGTTTACACGAGGGCCAGTACAGGTAGTTTTGGTGCTAATGCCTGTTAGTGCCCACCTGTGGGCACTCCTTGACACAGACTCTGAACTATGGCAGCTGTGAAACAATTTGAGCCAAAAGCAGCTGCTGATCTGCAGGTCCTCTAATGCTGTAGGTCATCCTGTAGTGCTGTAGGTCGTGTCTCTGAAGACCTTGCTGACAAAAGCTCTTACAGTTACTATGAATAAAAAATAACATTAAAACTTTAAAAAAAAGTAGACAAATAATGTGACTGAAGTTCTGTTAGTGACACCTCGTGTGACCAGTACTTCACACATTGTACTAGTTCTCCACTAATGCTAGTATAGAAATGGATTTTCTTCTATAGGAAGATATTTTTCAAAATTGTGTTCATTCATTTTTTTTCAAGTTCCTAATATTTGCTGTCGTCACTTTCTTCATATTCTAGCATCCCACTTCAGTGGATCAGAGTAACCCTTTCTTCCTTTCTTTCTGTCTTGGAGGTGGGAATCTGATGAGGAATAAAACGTTCAAAATACCCCTTTTGTGCAGAGTTCTTGGGGTGTTCATCTGAAGAATAGTGTGCTCCCTGTTTTCAAGAGCTGGTTGAGTTAATGATCATCTTCAGAAAATCTGGGTGATCTGGCTGTGTTTCAGACTAGTCCTTGAGGCTGCCTGAGAAGTGTGGTTGGCGTGTGTGGTCTCAGCTGCGCTCTTGTCATCTCCTAGCCAGCACCTGGCCTTTGGGCCTCGTGCAGGAATTGGCAGGCAGGAGCTGCCTGTGCAGTGAGCTGCGGCAGGTGCCAGTGTGTCCGAGTGCCCACAGCTTTTTCCTCCTGTGAGGTGAACACCAGAGCCAGCTGTTTGACCTGCGCTGGGAGCGTGGAGAATGACTGAATAGGAGAGGAAAATGAAATCTACATGGTGTTGGTTGGAGCCCTAGCATCTTCCTCTGCTTTCGGCCTGTGCTGGTGGCCGTAAACCCCAACATAAAATGCTACTTCACAAGAACTTCTTGATTAACTCCATAAGATTCAGTTTTAACTTCAGTCATATTTTTATCCCTTCAGTTATTTGAAAGAGTTTAAAACAGGACAGCTTCCAGGGGCGCTTGCATTTCAATGGAAAAAAAATTACTAAAAAAAAATTAAAAGTTGGAATCATGCTTTTTCTTTGCTGTTTATGTATATCTTTCCTCTGGTTTTCAGTATTGTATCTCATACCCAATTTCTTTTGCAGTTCTGTTCAGTGGAGGGACTGCTGTGGGTCAGCCATGCTAAAGGGCATATGATGGAGGCAAGTAAAAGTTTATCCTTTCACTATTATCTAATGTTGATTTTGCCAGTTTTTCCTTTTGAACTGTTTTGTTTCTCAGGGCTTCTGGGAAATAATTGCACAAATAAAGGGCTGTATTAGAATGTTCTGGGATATAATAATGTTGTAACGTCTGCTCAGTTGGCTGTATATGTAATTGTGAATTTTGTTCCTGATGTAGTGTATTCTTGTACAAATAAGAAATGTATGTTTTTGAACTTTATGGTATAAAGTATTGTTTCCTCCCACTAACAGAATATAAAAGTGGTTGTGAGTAGAGAAAACAAAAGTGGCCACAAAAGTTGAATCCTTATGAAGTAAGTGTGCTAATCAGTTTTGAAGATTCACAATTCTTCACACTTAGAGTATTTTTTTTTCCTCAGAAGTAGGTACTAGAACAAATAAATACTGGTAAGGACCTTCATACCAGATGTGTAATTTGCAAAGCTCATTTCAGGCTCACAACAGACTCATCCTATGGAAATAGAAGTAGGAGATGACTACAAAGCTCCCATTAGTAACCTCTGAGAGGCTGTATAATTTCAGAAATATGTTGTAGAATACACAGGATGGTCATATCTTGTTTGTAAGCTCACTGTGGGCTGTTTTGTTTCAGGTTGGTTTGTAGACTGCCATAGGGTTAATTGAAGCGGGGTAATTTTTTCTAGCAGATAATGCGTGGAGTTCCAGTTAGACTCAGGTGGTGTTCTTTAAGACCAGCAGCATTGCCAGTGATAATGTGAATAGAGAGCATGCAGGAGATCAAAGAGATCCTGGCTGGAGAGTTTACCCATCATCTTAGATAAGAACTGCAGTTCTTCAGTGAGTCCTGACTGAAAATAAATGCTGAGTGAATTAGCTAAAATGAAAAAGGCAGTTATAGGTCAGCTGTCAGGTTTGTATTTTCTGCGCCAAATAGTTTTGGGACTCTTGCTTTTTTAGATGGTGAGTTTTGTTCACTGAGCCATTTGGTCTGTTGGTTTTTGCGATTTTTTTGTCCCAAAACATAAATTGAGTGCAGTCTAACTTTCTGCAAAACCTGTTGCCTGAAGGGGAAAAAAAAGATTAAGACAGAGGAAGCCCAAAAGCCAAAGCACACTACTAGACAGAAAGGCACTTTAATTCATTTAAGATAGTGTTAAGTATGCAGGTATGTTGTTTTCTTCTGCCACACAATTGCTGCATGAATGTGGGTAAATATATGTTTCTTGGATGTAGTTTATTCCTTTGCGTTTAATGTGTTATTGATTAAACTGGCCAGTATATCTACACTCAATGCTTATAGCATCTTCAAAGCACAGAGGTAAAATCCTGCATGATTCCAGTGTTCTGCTTTCTGTAAGTACTGAGTTTCTTCTTGCCTCCAACTAATAGCAGTGACACTTGAAAAAAAGAAAGAGAGAGGCAGCTCTTCTGGTATTTTTGGATGGCAATTTGAAAAGCATTTTGGAATCTCTGTTTAACCCATTGTGTTAGGTTTCAGATGCACAGAATCTAGAGCACTCCAGTTGTAAACTCCAATGCATTCTGTTTATGCAGCTGTTCTTGCAGAGAAATGAACACTCTCAAATCCCAAATATGCTGAGTTTCAAATAATTCTTTTCTAAAGCACAGACTGCTTTCTGCCAAGATTGAGGTAGACCTTTGTGACCTGATTTCTATATTTATAGAAGCCTAAACAAAGTTTTCTCTTGCAGAAAACAATGGTCAGCTTCTGAGCATGTGATCTCATGGTGCTGATGTAAAACCCTTTCAGTTACTGTATCCTTCCTTTCTTCCTCCCTTTCTTCCCCATATCTTTGCTGACCTTCTCCCATAGTTGTTGCTATGAGCAAGTGCTGAGCTGTGCTGTTGTATAATCCAGTCCTGCCTCAGCCCAGGGAATGAGTCGGGTTGAGATCTCTAAGAACAGATGCGCAGTTCCTGTGACAGAGGCTGAACTGCACATACCTGGTGCTGATCCCTTGCACATTTGGTTGCTTAATCTACTTTTCAAAATGCATTCTTGTTTCCTGTGAGAGCTGTGGAACAAGACTATGCCAACTGAAAGCATTTCACTTGCCTGTTCTTGCTTGAAGATAGATTTTCACATCAAGTTTCCAGTGCCATCAGTGGATGCTGGCTGTAATAAGCCATTTCTCACTATGTGGAAATGAATAACTTATTTGAAAATGTTCTGGTTTTTTGCATGTATTAAATACTGTTAAGTTAGGGCCTTAGTATCAGATCTTTGTCAAAGAGCAAAATTAATTCTGCCTAAGTGACTAACATGCTTTTCAGAAATTTAACCTCATGTTAGATGTTATTATGGGCTTGTTCTTAATAAACAAAACCCCACTGGTTTCTTCTTGCTTCTCCCCTTTTTGAACAGCATTTGTACCTTTCTTGCTTTCCTACACCCTTTGTGCTGGACTTCTCCCCCCAGGCAATGAATGACTTGTCTCACACAAGCTTTGGCTTCTGCGTACAGCCTAGATGCAACTAATGCCACGTGGAGGGGTGCTCCAAGGACTGCTACATTTTATTTTGTTAATGGCATGTTTTGCGCATTGGATTTTTAACCCACACTTGCTGCATGGATGTATAATAATGACTACTCTTTTGTTTAACATTAGATAAGCATGAGATCACCGTGGCACAGCTGCATGTATAGTCACTCTTGAAGCAATTACACACCTAATTGGCTGGCAGTCTTGGCATTCTCAAAATAAACACAAGCCTTTTAAAGAAAGGGGACAGATTTATGTATGAATAGTCAAATAAACTTGTTGGGTGTCATCAATGGAACCGTCTGGCACTGAACAGTTGTCTGATGACCCTGATCCTGGAGGCAAATCCCAAGATCAAGAAACCAAAAAACAACATGAATCAGAGCAAAAATTATCCAAAATAACGCATAATGCTTTGGAGAACATTAATGTCATTGGTCAAGGCTTGAAGCACCTGTTCCAGCATCAGCGCAGGAGGTCGTCTGTTTCTCCACATGATGTCCAGCAAGCTCAGGCTGAGCTGGAGCCTGACCTGGATTTGGAAAGCCAAAGCGTCTGTGCTGAAATTGATGGTGTCTCCACCCACCCCACAGCTCTGAACCGGGTGCTTCAGCAGATCAGAGTGCCACCCAAAATGAAGAGAGGGACCAGCCTGCACAGCAGGTGGGGCAAGGGAGATGCCCCGAAAGGAAGCCCGCAGATCAACCGAAGGTCTGCTCAGGATATTCAGTTGGGTCGGCCCAGATCATCATCCACTACAGATGCTCCCACAAACTTGTCTGTGATGGAGATTGCTTCTTCTATCTATGTAGGTGGAGAAGAGGCCACAGCAGCAGCAGTAAGTTACTCAGATTTACCTTTGATCTTTATCATCTCCTTGTATGTTTTCTTAAGCCCTTTGAAATCTTGTTTTGAAAAGCAGGCTTCTTTCAGCAAATTCAAATGGTGCTGTGTTCAAAAGCTTCTTCAGTGGTGAAGCAAAGAGCTTAAAAGATGCAAGCATTAGTCATTTTCTCACATGGCAGGTGGCTGATTTTATATGTATTTGATCAGTGAAATGAGAGCTACATTTGAAACATATTAGGTTGTTTGGATGGCACACCTCTGTCAAACAAGGAGCAATAGGCTGAGCAGCAGCCAGAGTGGTCCTTCTTAGCAACTGTTAGCTAGTTCCTGCAAGAAAACCTTCCGTTTACCTACCTGACTTTTTAAATTCCTCTCTTATTTTCTTTTGTATTTTATAAAATTAAAGAGTTCTAGTGTGACTGGATGGTGTTGTTGGTGTTTTAGGCTGTGAGAGGCTCTGGGAACATGGGCTGCAGCCTGTGCTACTGTCCAGCCCCTCAGTGCTGGGTTGCTTGTCTGTGGTTTAGATCATCCTGGCTGCTCTGCTGCTGAGGGATCACTGCTGTCTCCTTCAGTTTGTCCTGCCTGTGTGGGAAAAGCAGTGATGAAATGACAGTCTCCGTTCTGTGACACGTTCTTGCAAAGTTTGCCTATCAGCCTATTGATGATATCAAGAAGCAAACAGCATGTCTTACCATTTCTCCCCTTTCCCAGATCAATTTAGTTGAAGCATTCGTGAAGTTGGATTTTTTTGTTTGTTTGTTTGCTTTTTGGAAGACTAGCTTTCTGATTAGGTAGTTTTAGTTTGTTGAGGAAACTGGTTCAGAGAGTCCTCTGAAAAACAGCCCTTAATAACAAAGGTGTCTATGGAGGCTGGATATACTTTTTTCCTCTTGCAAGGAGTCTGCCTGGAGCTGTATCTGAAGCTTTTGCCTCTTGCTGACTGTTACAACAACAGAGATAATACTGAAGTAGTTGTGAAAGGCATGCACTCTCCTGGGTTGGTTAACTTTGCAGTTAGTCAAGCCATTAAAAGTTGAGAGAAAGAGACCTCATAACAGCTTCAGGTTTACTTGCATATTGCCTCTCTCTTCATTGTGAGTGAACTCAGGATCTTTGTTTCAGGAGAATTTTAGGGAAATTTGTTAGTTTTTTGAGTTTGTACCCAAATCCAGCAACAGAAGTTTATAAAGCAAGGTCTGGTTTGTTGATTTCAAACTGTCATCCCTTTACTTCATGTATGAGCAGGGAGATTGAACAGGCCAAAGCATATTAGGTAAGTAATGTGGGAATATGGCAAAAGGCCTTTTCTCCCAACTGTGCAGCTTTGTCTGATGAAATGTTTGCCTGGATTGGTGGTTTCCAAAGCGGAATGTGGGTAGGACAGTCCTGTCCTCCAGTCCTACACTGGTGTGTAGGAAGGAAATATTTTTTGGTTTGTTTTTATATTTATTTTCCTTTATAGTTTGTGTTTCTGTGTATGTTTTAAAATAAGCATATTATAATAGTTGAGTAGTAGATATACATAGTTTATAAATAAGCGTACATGTATTGGGAGTCCATGCTCAAACATTTTGTACTGATTGAATGTGCAAAGTTTGGAAACCACTGGGGTCACGTGGCAGGAGTGACAGGAAAAATGAAGACTGTTAATCTGATAGCATTTTGCTACAGCATCTTGCAGGTGTGAGAACAGGTTCAGGAGTCACTTTTTGGCATGTAAGGCCTTGTGATTAGGAGAAGCCTAATCCTCTGGAGCAGCGTGCGGTTCCTGGCCTGTCAGGCCATCACCCCTGGGAGCCATCCTTGGTGCTGCTGGCTGTGGCCTGAGGGAGAGGGGCTGGAGTCTGACAGGAGAAAACTGAATGAGGGGGGAAAGGCCACCTTTGGGGACCAAACCATGGGAGACCTCTGTGATCAGTTGACCCTTGGTAGAGCTTGGTGAATTTCTAGCTGCTTTATAATATTTGCACCATCTTATGACAGACAATAACAATGCATACTGTAGGTCTGAAGTGACGCGGCCAAGGAAATACTGCTGTGGAGAATGAGACATGAGAGGGCGATGTGAGTGTCAGTCCCTTGTACTGAGATCACGTTGCATGTGCCTGTTTTTCTGTTACTACCTTTTGTCTTTTAGCAGGTAGTCTGTAGGAGAGGGAAGAAGGATGGGCGGGAGACTTGGACTCTTTATTTTCCTGGGAAATTTTCGCAGGTCAGGGTGGTGTACCTCATTTACTCTCTTGAGAGCAGGTAACAGCACTATCTCACAGTGTGGCACAGAGGTTGGAAGAGTTATTCAGTAGTTTAGTGCCTTTCAAATGTGGGGATCTCTATTTTCTCATGCCTCCAAGAGCCAGAAAGGTCAAGCCTGCTGCAACATTGCTATGCAATCTATATAATGTTTAGAGCTGTAAAAATCACATGAACTATGCTTGACTTAATTTGCACAGGAAACAAAATGTAAAAATTGAAAAATAGAAATGTTGGGGTTTTTTTACGGAGAACAACAGAATGTTGTCTGATATTCTGTGAAAAGCACTATGTGTCTTTGCCATATTAACATAATATCTTGCTATTATTTCAATCTGAGGCGTACTGTCTTGGCTATGGCATGTGTCTATACATACTAGGTTTAAAGTATGTTGATGCCAGTTGAAGTTACAAATTAATGGGAGACAGCTTGCAGGTTAAATGCAGATGATTGTACAGCTTTAAATAATATATAGCAGCCTTTACTGAATTTTCAGTATAGAGATGTAATGTATTTGTAAATTAGCTCCATGTAAATTTTAAATCACTGATATAATTATTAGCAGAGCTCCTTGGTTTGTCAAATCAGTAAAGCATAATGCAGTCATTTGGTAAATCACCCTTATAACAGATGTCAGTGCTGTTTTCATCGGAGAAGCCTGCTTAGCATTCAGGCTGCTGTGCTGCTGGAATTTATCACTATAAATTAATGAGTTGTTAAGTTGCAAAAACTAACTCTTCATTCAACAATTTGTATTGGAAAATTATTTACAACACACTTCAAATGAGAATCAGTAAAGAGCCAGGAAAAATCTGAAATCATTAGAGCAAACTTAAAGTTTGATGTGAATTCAAACTTTAAACACTGTCTTTAAGTTATGAGGTTTTGAAGTTGTTTCACACAGTATTACTTTAACCCTAAGTTCTCCTATTTTATTTAGCCTCACTGAGACTAGATTACATAATGAAGCTTAAGAAATAGAAATAATTTTTTTGAAGTGTCTGGCAGATAATGCTCACTCATCAGGGTTGAGAGTCCTCTGGAACCCCAGGTCCTACCAAGCCTGTATGGATTATCTCTGCATCTAACTTTCACTTAACTTTTTTTGTTGGTTTGTACTCACTTTCTCAACACTTTGCCTATTTGTCTCCTTCAGCTTTTTGTGATGTTATCTTTTAAATAAATTTTTGACCTTTTCCTTTTAATAAAGCCACAGCAATTTCACTTCCTTGGTTTTGGTGTTTGCTGTTGACAGTGATGCTACACTGACTCACCTTCCCTCAGCAGAGAGTATTTCCTTCAAAATTATTTAAGAATTTCATAAATCCATCTATAATTAGAAAAATGTCACTGAGCTACAGCATTGATCCATCTGTTATGAACATATGGGCTACACAAGCTACAAGGAACAGAGAAACAACTCATAGAATGGAAAAGTTGTGATTTAATTATGACAAGAACTATGTAACATAGGATTTGTAGTCAAGCAATATAACTGTTTTCTGGTTCCTGTCTTCCATGATTGTTTGCTTTGCTGGTACCTCCCCGTGTGGTGACACAGCTTGTTCCCATTGGAGTGGGGTGTGTGTCAGTGGTTCTGGGGCTCCTCTGCCCTGTCAGGTAACAGGTGTTGGACTGCGCAGGGCTGTGCCCACGCCTTGATGTCACCTGTGTCACTGTGCTGGCGCTGCTCTTGTGGCAGGAATTCCTGCTCTCCTTTCCTTTCTTTCATTATTTTTCTCCCAGTATTCAGATCTATTCAGACAGTCAGGCAGAGTAGTGAACCTTGTGTTTGCTTCACATGCTCTGTACGTGCTCACTAGGCTGTTGAAGTGAGACGTGAAGGTCTCAGGGAGCTGCAGGCACTGCACACCCTTGTGTGCCCTGCACCCTTACTGCTTTTAAGATTTGACTGTGACTGCAGAAGGTTTTGCTATGAGTCCATGAAGGAAGTCATCACACTTGGATTGCTGAGAAATTAGCCTTCATTTGTATTTTATCAGAGGCTTATTTTATCAGAGCATTATTCTATATGCTTTTGTGGGTGGCTGTGAAATTGTCAGTGCTTCTTACTGGAACGACAGGAGCGTTACCTGTTGCAGAACTGTTTTGCAGGCATGGATGAGCAGGAGCCCATGTGCTTCCGTCTTGCTTACTACTGAAGCTTAAAGACCTGTTAAACACATCTGGGCTATTTCCATATCTACCATGTTTTGTGGAGTCAAGCCCTGAGCATCATCCTTCTGTGCAAGGCTGCACAGGGATTAGAGTTTATGCTTAACATTGCCTACATAAATGCTGTGTTGAACTTGGCTAAAGCTTGTGATTTATTTTCTTGTTGGGTTGGTCCTGCTCAATGCTTATTACATTTGCTTTTTAGCAGTAGTGCTATGTCTGAACGCAGATATTTTTCTTTTGGAAAAGGAAAGAACCCTTATCAGCTTGGCCATGTCCACGAGGTAAATTGCAAAAGTGCAAAAGGAAATTTTGTAATTAAATTCCATGGTGTACTGAGAAACTCAGGCGCCTGTCATGGGGCAGCTGTGGAAGGGCAGGGCTCAGAGCAGGGAAGCTCTAGGAGCTGAGTTTTCCAGCCAGCTCCTCAGAGTCCCCTTCTTCCTGAGTCGCATGCAGAGTACTGTGTGCGAGGAGAAGATGTGTGCAAGATGTGGTATTGATATTAGTTTGTCTTGGACTTTTTAAACTTCTGAAAGCTTCTATCGCATTACCGTTTTTCC